ATTTATTCTTAGCAATACAAATTTAATCTTGTCAAATTTAATCCTACAAAAGTTATGTTATCAAGAGATTTTTTTATTACAAGTGATAAATCTTTGACATTTTCAATAGTTTTCAATTCTGTAAACATAAGTTGTTTTAGCTATACAAAGATTTGCAGGTAGCAAATGTAGAGAAAATTATTGTTCAAAAATAACATAATTAGTAATAGAATAGTTTTGAAAAATAATAAAGATTTATATACAAAAAGCATTTGGCGCGTCCGGATCGCACAAGGAAATACATATTAATAATATCAGTGTCTTGTTTTGACTGTCATTAACTTCTAAGTAGATGTTTTTTAAAATGTGGATACTCTTTGACCAAATAAGAAAAAGGCATGCCTAATGCCTTTCGTGTAATTCTTTATTTTCTTCAAAATTATTCTATTGTTAATTATTTTACTTTTATATAACAACTTTCTCAATTTACCTGCAGATTTTCATATACCTAAAACAACTTATGTTTATAAAATTGAAAAGTTGAAATTAAAAGTTAATGATTTATCATTTGTACTTGGCGTAAACCTTTTGATATCATAACTTTTGTTATGAGTTAAGAAGTACAAGATTAAATTTGTACAGTTAAGAATTAATATTTAATATAACAGTAAAGTATTCGCACGTATATAATTATTCTGAATAAGATTATTCCAATAATAACATTTTTAATACAACTGTTTAGCTGAATTCTTTTTGTTGAAATTGTAATCTTGTAATAATAAAACATCGGCGAAGCGCGTGCATTTGGCACTTTTTTTACTTTCCTTTTAAAAAGGTAATTTTGTTCTTTTGACTATCACATTTTTTTCTGTGAAAATAGTATTAAATACCTAAAGCAACTCAATGAAAGTAATAATATGAAAGCGGCAGGCCGACCGACGCGAGTGATACTAATACGCTTTTGATGACGAGAATTAACGCCGGATGTGTGTAATTACCCTTAGCACGGGCACTTAGGATCTCTTCGTGTTCTCAAGAACGCGAGTAGATAAACGGAGATAAAAGCCCGTGGAAATTTCCGCGCGTTTGCGAATAGAATCCGCGGTTTATCGGCGCGCGTCCTTTAATCTCGATTTACAATAATGTTTTAAGCCATAAGCCTTAAAAAAATCGTTCTGTTTTAAAAGTGAAAAAAATGTCATAATTTGTTAACTTTTATTCGTTTTTCGAATAAAGTCAACCGCCGTCGCCTACATTAACGTGTGTGTTGTAACTGTGCAGAAGAACTTTTAATTTTGTGCAGTCAGTGACGAGTATAATACTAACAAATTAGCATTAAAACAGGATGACTCAAGGATCCCCTTAAGGAGATACTACAACCTTTAATGAAATTGATAAGCGTCAATAACGTAGAGGCGATCCTCTAAATGTTATATTACATAAACATTGACACAATCACGCTATTCTGTTTATACTCTTCTGTTTATACTTCTGTTTATACTGTTTATACATATAGGTCTTACGTAAATGTAAGTGTGATATAAATGTAAATAAAATAAATGTGTGCTACTTTATTTTACCATATTTAACGGAGAATCTAACCAAGACATGTAAAATTTTTTCTGCAAATTTTTCGTGTCCTTTTAAGTTTTGATGTAGAGTTCTCTTGATATTGAAATTTTCCTCGTTGGAACAAACACACTCGATGTGCACTCGAGTTGCAAAATTTTTGTTTTGGGTAAATGTTTACTTGACAAGTCGAGATTTCAGTTTTGAGATTTTGAATCGTTTTCGTCACACATTCGACAATGCTCCAATTCATACTCACACATACTTTCGCTACATAATAAAAAATTTGGTGTTAAATTTAACACATTTCTTCACATGTCCTAAACGGTTCCACTTAAATTTTGGTTTTAATTTAAGGCGAACATGTTGAGAAGTAGCACAAATATTCTGTCAATAATTAGCACAAAATTAATACGTTAATCGACACTGAAGTATAACATGTGTTATTTTAACACATGTTATACTCCACATGTTGAACATCGATACAACACGAAGTGTTGAGATGACACAAACGCAATATGTGAGATTAACACATGTTAACAATTTAACACAAAAATGTTGACACGAGTGCGAAATATTGTTTATTGTGTGTATAGAAACATTTGTAATTCCGTGCAATGAATAAGACGTGAACTTTGCAGAAGAAGATCGGTATTCTGAGTCTTCAAGTGGAGCATCCCCTTGAGGCTTACAGCACTTATTGTGTAGACCGGGGCGGACGACAAGCGCGCCGATCGACCGTTGGAGGGCCGTTGAAGACGCGCGGTCTTGACGTGTCGCATGTGTTAAATAAAAGAATTGCGTATTGCGATGCCGGTGTCGCTCGCGGGACGTTCACCTTTAATTAAAGCGATCGACAGCGCGGGGTAGACGGCCCCGTGCGCTCGCGAGCGCGTGAATCTTATAGGCGAAGTAATCGTTCGAAGGCTTCTTCTTCTTCTTACCGGCTCGCTGCTGCAGGCGCTGGTGCTGGCGTTCGCGGTGTTGGTGCAGGTGGCCATTGTCGGGCAATGGTTTTACGGCGAACCACCTGCGGTGATCCAGGTGCAAGGCGCGGGCCAAAGCTCGCCAGCATCATCCACCTCCTGCAAGACTCCGCTCGGACAGATAGTGGCTTCCCTCGGGTAAACTTTTCAAATGTGAACCTTCTTCCTCCTCTTCTTCTTCTTTCTCCTCCTCCTCTTCATCCTCCCACTCCTCCTTCTGCACACTCATTCTCTCTCTCTTTCTCTCTCTCTCTCTTTCTCGCTTCTTCTCTTCCTCCTCCGCGTCAGCGGACCGCGAGTTAAATCGATTACACACGTACCTCCAGCGGCAGCGGATAAGCCGCGAAGAAGCCGCCATCGATAACGCCATCGTGCGCGTGTTCTTCCTCCTCCTCCTCCTCGCTCCTCCGCGTGAATTTGTCTTACTTCGTAATCTCCTCACCGCGCGCGCGGAGAAGGCTCGTCTAATCGATGAATCACGCGTCTACCATTATCCCGTCATTTTCTCTCCTTTTCTTTTCCTGCTTTCTTCTGTTTCTTCACTTTCATCGCTCGATTCTTTGGATCCGCGTCGGATCCACTTTTGAGACGCGGAAGCGGCTTTCACCCCGGAGATGATGACGCTCACGCGCCCTCCTCACGCGGCTCTTGCGCGGAATTGCAGGTATCCCGGAGCGCTGCTGGTGGCGGTGGCCTGCCTGGCGGTGCGGGCACGTGGCGTCCGCGACAATAACCGGGAGGCGGCCTTCATCGGACTGGCGGTCGGCCTCTCCTTGCCGATCTGGATCTCCAGCGGCATCGGCGCGATCGCGGCCGGCAGCGAGGGTGATCGCGAGGCTTGGCTGGCATACGGCCTCCTGGCCACGTCGCTCTTCGTCTTCCTCACCATGTTCCTGCCGAAGGGCCGACAACTGGCCGCCCTGGGTCGCGAGGGACCCGCGACGGTGATCCGCGACCGCGACGACGCCCTCAGCTCGTTGCCCGGCAGCGGCTACTCGCCCTCCTTCTTCCACTTCAAGCCCGCCGAGGCGTCGCTCAAGAGGAAGATGCATTACCACAGCGCCGGTAGGTCGTTAGATCCTGCTAAAGCGTCACGCGTAAGAGCTTTCGCACACGAACCGCCGTTGCTGTAAATGTAAAATGTAAATTTGGATCGAAGATAATCTATCTTTAGATTTGATTTTACACGTGTTTGTTTGACTTGGGTTTGTTTAATATAAACAACATAATTTAATATCAAATATCATTTTTTTCATAAAAATGTTTCACTAGAGTAAACCACGTTGTTTGATAGAGAAAACAGTATTTTCTGAGGAAATAATATAGTTTTCAATTTAAAAAATTTACTTTATTGTATATTGAATATCATTCTACTGAAACACAAAGAAATCGTTTAATATTTATTTAATATAGTGTTACCTCTTTCAAATAATTTATTGTTTGTGACAAACGTCATAATGTTTGGATGAAAAACATACAAAAGATATATGTTATCTGTTGTAAAGATACTTATTGTTTTAGAAATTAAATAATGCTATTTGTTGAATCAAACATTCGTTTGTTTGCTCTATTTTAAAAGAAAATTTATTTCAATTAAAAAAATTTTCTTTAATCCAAAGAAATCTTCTTTTCTGTGTAGTATTTGATTGATTTCGAAACATTTCGAAATATTTTCAAGGTCCATCTTAGCATTTAATTACACATACTTTCTTCTTCCTATTAAACTTGAGCGTATTATCACATGAATATATGTATATTTGAATGTTTTGTTCGTAAATTATTAACATTTCATTCGGCTGTGCACATTTCGAGTTATGCAAAGTTAAACAATAATATGGCATCTTGCTAATGTTTGACTTGGCCCCCTAAGAGTGCTGATAGTACGACTTCTTTTTCGAGGCTTTCATGTCGAAATAGTTATTCAATAAGTCAATTTTAATTTCTAGTTCACTACTGTATTTCCATCTACACTGCACTGCTGTCCTTCTGACAAATTGTAACTTCTAATAAGTATTTGCATTAAGTCAGTATCTACATTAAAAATTCACGGTTATATTAATTGTTATTTTTCTAAAAATTTATATTGAATATATATAATTTTGCAATAAAACATTCTGTGTTATTTTGAACAAAACCAATTTTTTAAATCTTTTTTAGTTGGGGGCCACATTACCATTCTTGTTTTTTTTCAACTCATTATGCCAGTGTCGCTTCATTTGTATAAATAACGTTTTAAGTAATAAATATTTCATAACTTTGTATCTAGAATCGATTGAACAATACTTCAAAAATGTAATCGTTCACTTTTCAACTTAAATATTGATTGTTGACAAAGTTATTGTACAAAATAAAAAGCCATAATACCACCTTCTTCTCAATTTTCAACAAATCAAATATTCTCAACAAATTTACTGTTCACATAGTAACTAACATAGTGCGGACAGAAATGCAATAGTGCATTATAGATTAGATTCGACTTATCGAATAACTACTTCAATACAAAAATCTCGAAAAAGAGATCATAATTATCAGCACTCTTAGGAGGCCGCATTAGTAAAACACCATGCTATTGTTTAACTTTGCGTAATTCGAAATATGTGTAAATATGAAATGTTAAATAACAAACAAAACACTGACACATATTTCGCTGCGCAATTTGACAGCCGATAAAATCTGCCGGTAAATTATTTTTCTTCGTGTAGTTTCACCGTCATTTCCATCTCCTCGTAGAATGCACAAACCCCAAAGCAATATCCTGATTGGTTCTTCGGCTTGAGATTACGGCGATTTGTGTGCGAAATTCCCGATCGACGCGGCGAGCGAGACGCGATATAAGTCGAAGAGAAGACGTACGCGCGCCGGCAGATATCATCATCTCGAGGAACGATCTCTCTCCCCGCTATTCGCCGAATATTCTCCAAGTTTCTCTCGGCACTACGCTACTCACGCACGTGCGATTACGTTCCTCGGAGGAGCGGTTGCGAGTGCGCGCAACTCCGTCGTTCTGATTTGCTTGCGCGATACCACGAGGAAGATCGCGGGCCTGAAAAGTCGCGTAATCGCACCGAATATAACGGAAACGCGATCACGACTAACGAAATCGGCGACCCGTGAAGAAGCGCGGTCTCGGATGAGCGATATCGAGAAAATTAACGTGCACGATGACGAGGAGCGACGCCTCGTTACGCGTCATACGCGTCGGAAACGGGATGACGGGTCTTTTACTCGATGATGCTTCACGAGCGAGCGATCACGGTTAGGAAAAAGATGGGCGATCACTACAGGATTAAAACCACGGAAAGACTCGTTATAAGACGAAAAAATACCAAGGATAAAGTGGCAGTTTTTTTCAATTTAATCTAACATTAGTTTGTTCTTCGATTTGTAGTTCGTAGTTTAATTTTGCTTGCTGCAAATAATATTTTGTAATTACAGTAACTAGTATCGACAACTGGTCGAAATTTGAGCCGATATTTAGGTTGAATCGATTACAAATCGGTCAACCGTCGATTGACCACGATAATCGACGTCGACTCAACTTTTTTACTTCCGACTGCGGTTAACAAGGTGAATGTGTTAATTTAACATAGATTTTTCAACTTCTTAACGCATCCCCCGTATTAAGGTAACACACAAAACTTTCAGCAGATCATTTTTAACACAACATTTTTCTTACCGTGTACGATAATTATAGTCACGCACGACGGCGGCGGCGGCACGATTAAAGATCGGCTGCAACGGTATCGCTTAAGTCCGGTTAGCGATTGTCCTTTTGCATCGAAATTAATCACCGACGGTGAATTGAGAGCGAGAGAGAAAGAGGGAGAAAGAGATAGAGGAGCGGATGAGCGGGAAAAATTTCAACGCGAAAACGAGCAAGGCGGCTCCGGAGAGACGCCACGCGCTCGCCGAACAGACACGGTAATAGCAACGTAATTCGCATTCGCCGGGGGATCGTCCGCCCGCTCCTCCTCGTCGAGATTATCGTAACGTGGAAACTTCTAATTATAGATCGAGTCGCACTGGTCTCGTCCGGGATACCCGGATGCAGCGCCTGCAGGCACGGAGGAAGTCCTATATACTCCGACGGTAAGCCGTAATTATTTATTTGCCGAGAGAGAGAGTGACTCGGCCGATTATTGTATTACGTATTACGCCGGCGCCGAGGAGCCGAGTCGCGTCTCGTACACGCGCGCACCTTTCTCGAGCGCGCGCGTTTTCCCCACGTTTACCGTCGGCGCCCCTTCGAGTCACGCGACGCGGAGTCACGATTGGGCCGGCCCAGTCGGAACGCGCGCGCGGCACAGCGGGCATTAACACTGATTATAATACAATTAGCATAAGGTATAAGGATAACCATCGCGCTATTGGATTCATTCGAGGTTGAATGACTCCGTCTGACCTCGCCGCGGCCTTCCACTCCTGCCGCGGCGCCGTAACGCGCGTAAGGAATCCCGAGATCCGTCTGTCGGAATTCGATGTCAACCGGCCGCTTCCGGACGGCTTCTCTCGACGTCGGGTCTCCGCCGAAATTCGAACGAGCCGACACGACGCATCGTCCGTTCGTTATTGCACGTCGGCACGTCGCCGCACGGAGAAGACAAATTTGCCGGAACGGCAAATTGTTTGTTGACATTTGAGAACGGCGGAACGAATTTGCTGGACAGCGGAAAGATCACCGGGAAAAAGTGATTATGTGTGATCATGTGTAATTATATAAAATCACATATGAATTTTACCCATATATGTGGTCACGTATATAATCATATATGTCTATATGAAAAAAGAAATGATGCTATGTTATTCAATTAAGTGTCGATATTATGCGCTGTCAGAAGTACAAATAGCCAGAAGCATTTGTTTTGATTGTATTTGCATATAATTTGTAAACAATTTTTCATTTGTAAACAGTATCTCTTCGTTGTAGACATGTATGATTATACATGGAATATGAGCAAATTTCGTACACGGAGAGAAAAATTCTGCCAGAATAGCAAATTGTTTGTTAATACAGAGAAAAAAATTTCTTTGGACAGCGGAAAGATTTGTTAAGAGTATTAATTGCTATTTGCCAGATATATGGACAGTAAAATAATTTGGTTATGCCAATTAAATTTTATTGCGGTTGCAATGATATTTTGCTACAACAGCAGAATTATTTTTTCCGTGTAACGAAATTTTTGGCTGTCATTATACTAACAAACAATTTGCTATTCCAGCAAAACTTGTTTTCTCCGTATATATGACCTTTTTTTTCCCGGGTTTGTTAAGAATATTAATTGTTATTTGTCGGATATACGGACAGCAAAATAATTTGGTCGTGCCAATTAAATTTTATTGCTGTCGCAATGACGTTTTGCTACAACAGCAAAATTATTTTTTCCGTGCGATGAATCGTTTTGCTGTCACTATATTAACAAGCAATTCGCCGTTCTGGCGAAACTTGTTTTCTCCATGCGCGCGTACACAACAGTGAGAAACATTTTGTACACCGAGAAAAATTTCCATCGGATGAACCGATAGAATTATGTGTCCTGTTGTTATTTTTATTGTCCGATCAAGTGATGGGTGTCTTTATCCGATGAAATATCCGATGAAGTATCCGATGAAGTTACCGATGAAACTTAATCGGAAAATTAGTCGCCTTTTGTGTATCCATTATAATTTTCATCTCGAATAAAGACACAACTTGATCGGATATGTTCGTTTGTTAAGTGGATTATCCGAACAGATATGATGGGATATTTTTCCCAATGTACTTGTGTTAATTCTCGAACAACAAGGTTGCATTGGATTCGACCGGATGCATATTCTAATGCTTCCGCGCATGCGCTGGTGAAGCGTTAAATTTCAGATATTTTACAATATATTTTATTTACTTTCAAATATTTTCCAACTTATTGTGAAAATAAAAAGTGCTTAGTCGACAAAATTAGTTGAAAAAACTACAAAAACTACGAATGCTTCTACCGGTCGGATCCGACCCACCTTGTTATATGTGTGACTGCATGAACCTTGTTATTCGAAGGCTAAAGTCGGTTCTTGTTAAACAACTTTTATATTAAATTTTTAACATACCCGTGTTGTTAATTTAACATATCGTGTTCATGTTATACCAATGTATACACACAATATATTTGCAATATATACACAGTAAAAAATTTTGTATTAAGTTCAACACATATTTTTTTTAATATAACACAAAGTGAATACGTTGAAAACAACACAAATGTTATGTACAAAAATTAATACAAAATTAACATGCGTAATATGTTAATCGATAATATATTATTTTAACACTTATACATGTTGAATACCGACTTAATACTAAATATTGAGGCAACATAAACAATGTGTTAAATTAACACACGAGTATGTCAAAGATCTGACACAAAAATTTTAACACAATTACAAAATATCTTTTACTGTGTATATTTTGTGATGAGTTGATATTCAACATGTGCGGAGTGTTAAAATGACACATCAACATAACAACTTGTGAGGGCCATCTGGGACAGCGTGAGATGCGTAAAGTTTTATACAAAATTTTTCACTACGTGCGTCGGACGAAGCGCGCCAAGTATCGCCGGCGAGATCTCGCTTCCTGTCCCGCTCTCGCGCGCGCGCGCGCGCGCGCAGTCCTTTCCTGGCCCGAAACTTTTCCTCCGTCACGCTAACGCCCTCGGCGACCTTCACCTCGAGGTGCGAACGAAAGGGAGGAAAAGCGGCGGGTGGACGGCGGCGAAGGTAGAGAGGCGGAGGCGGCAGGCGGGCGAGGAAAGGCGGAGAGGGAGAAAGTCCGAGGCGGAGGTCAATCGCTCCTCGGCGCGCGAGATGTTGGCGGCGGGACGAAGGGGGAAGGGCGGGTGGGGAGGGGGGGAGTATCCCGGGATATCCCGTTAGATTGGACCATGCTCTCATGAAACGACGATGCGACCGACGGTGACGAAAATAAAATGCACGCGGACGGGCGCGCCCGCTCGCTCTCGGGAACGAGTCGTCGATTATCTCCCGCGCCGCCGGGGTCTTCGTCTTCGCGCGAGAGTCCACATATTTCCTTTTTAGAGAACAACATTGTAAGCGGAGAGCTTCACACTTTCTAGAGACGCATAATGGAAAAGCGCGCGCGCGCACGTTCGTTAACGAGTTTCTAGATCCTATTCAGCTCTATTCGGAGGGAACGCGCTATTGTAACGAGGCCGCGCCGTTACATTCGAGCGTTACTCAACGGACGCTCGTAGGAATTCGAACGAACGAACGAACGAACGAACAATAAAAAAAAGGAGAAGAGGAGAAGACGAAGACACGAGTCGAAGGGCCGCCGCCTCGGAGCGACGTTTACCGCTCGCGCGTCCCACTTGATGCGAGTCCGTCCGATCACGGATCGTTGTTTCTACTACGAACGCATGCGCAAACGCATCACGACGATGCTGTGCGCGTAGATCATAGCTGGATGACTTTCACCCACGCGGTACATTTACGTTGAAGACACGCGTCCGATGAGCGCATAGCGCACTTTGTAACGACGCGTGCCCGTCGCGCGGCCGCAAGATTTCGCGGAGGATCGCCGGTGCGTCCTCGTAAAGGCTAGATTACACCAGCGATCGCCGATCGGACCGCGATCGACGGTTATAAAATGAAGCATTTTCTAAGTCAGTCTAAGGCAGTCAGAAATCCATTCGGTCAATTCAAACAAGATTCTTGTTCGGATGTGTGGGCAAACGAATGTTTCGGTCGTGAGAACTCGAGTTTGCTTCTCCGAAGCGAAAGTGACGAACGAAAGTGAAAAACGAAAGTGAAAAAGATTAAATTCGGAGAAACAGATATTGGCTCTCACAACCAAGACGTTTGCTTGCATATTCAAATAAGAATTTTGTTTGAGTCAAGTAAGTGGGTTTCTCAGTCGGTGGCCTCTTTGCTCTGATTGGTTGCACAGAAAGAAAATTAATCTTATATCAAGAATAAATATTCTTATACAGGATGTCCCGAACCTTTCTCGGTTCCCGTGGTATGCAAGTAGAACGGGTGAAACTGAGTAGAAAAATCACACACCATTTTGCAAAGTTTGCAATAGCTGGCGGAGAATTAATTATTTTCTTTGAGCTAATAAACGCACGGGAAAGGGTTACATAACTATCATGAAACTTTGGAAGAAGCTGTAAGAAAAGCTGCATATTGCAATAGATAGCTCTTCCGTGCTATTTTCCGAATCGAATTTTAGCCACTTTTTCAAGCTTGTCGTTCTATAGTGCAGATCAGAGAAATCGGAAATAAGATTTAGATTACCCCATTGGTCCGATTATAATTTTCAATTCGTAGTCTGATACGGACTTAAGAGAATGAAGACTTTCGCGAACGACGTGGTCGCCGATACCACCACACGCGCGCGCGCGCGCCCACGCGACACGTTTCTTTACGGTAAAGCTCATTATCGCGAGCGAGGCGTGAAACACACGGGAGATCATGAGGCAAAGGTCGCCAGCCTTCTCGAGTCGAAGGAGGACCCGAGTGTTTTGCAAAGCAACGCGTCTCGAAAATGTACGACGAACGGCGAGAGTCCTCTTTCGATCACGACGGCAGTGATTGATCGGTCGTCGAAATTAATTACTTACCGGGCAGGACGAAAGTACAGTCGCGAAGTCGAGTAACGACAGCCGTGAAGTTTCGACGAGACACACTTCGAGTGACGGGCTCGCTCGCAAGGAACATCCGCCAAGTGTCCGTCTCTGATTACTATAAAACTTAATATATGTAGTCAAATTTGAGACACATATATATTTTTGCGTGTTGTGATATGTAGATTATGACACTTTACATAAGAAAAATTATAAAATATCTGTCAACAATTTTTTTCGTATCGCCAACAGTTAACGAGACAACATTCCGGGAAAAAATTTCCCATATGTATATACATAAAAAAAAAACGTGCTAGAATCGAGTAATTACTTTTTCACCTCTTGAATCAAATAATATTTTTATCAATTTAAATATATCTTAATAGTTTGTAGGAATAAATAGAGGAAGAAGTACAGTGACTGGCAGTTTTAGGATACATTTCTATTTTAAGATGTCTCTTGATGCAAGACTGACACCTGTAGAATCGTTTTTTAAATAAATATTAGTCAAGATTCTTTCTTCGTTACAAAAATACATAGTTATATTGGAGAAATAAAATATATCCAGTTCAAAATAAAATATCGAATTGAAATAACGAAAATCACTCTAATTGGCATTCATAATGATGTCATAATGATGAGTATACTTGTCATAGTGATTAGCACTCATTAGAAATATGTTAAATGAAGAAACATATCGCAATTTAGTTAATGACTGAAACTCAATATTTCACCGCTGCTAAACGATGTATCAGATAAATCTACCCACATACAACAGTATATCGGCGGTCTCTGATTACAACCTAATGAGCTAATCAACACTGCAACTTAATCGATTGCTCTTCGATAGACCACTTCCTCACTTATCATCAACTGCACATTCGATCGTAATAGTTTGTTTTGCGTTTAAGTATGCCGACATGCTAATCACTGTATCTCTGTCAATTACTGTACTTTTTTCCTTACTTACTTAATCACAGTGATATCTTAATTTGATTAAATGATAATTATTGAATGTAAGTGTAAAATGTTTCTAAATTTAAGGGAATATGTAATAGAATTATGTATATATATATTTCTATATATATTTCTTTTCCATTGAAGGAACCTAGTAGATTTAAATTTCGGTTTTCCTGTTCAGAGAGAATAATTATTTTCTATAAATATTTTCTAATATAAATTCTGATCTTCTCAATATTATAAATTTAATATTTGTCTCACAATTGTTTTAACATATATAAATAAATGTCTACTTATACGAAGGAAATATCATATTGTATGTAGGATGTTCGGCGTAACTGTTTGCGCGATTTTTGGGACGCTTCCGACATTTGAAAAAAAAAGTTGTAAGATGAATATTCATTTATTGCATGCAAGCTATAACTTGCGACAAAAAAATTGATAACAATTTTTTTCATGAAAGATCAAGGTTATTTTAAATTTTTTAGATAGTATCATGCAATTTTTTTCTATAATGCTGTAGGAGATTTTAAGACGAATTCAACGGGTTATCGAGAATATCACTTTTATCGATACTTAATATCAAATTTACAGCATTATTTGAAATAGCAGTATTTGTAAGCTCTATAGAAATGTAAACATAAACACTGAAAATTGTAAATTATTTAACACTGGAATTTGTGAATTATTTCCGCATTGTAAGCACATAATATCTCTATCATCATGAGTGATTGTCAGTACTCTCTGAGTTTTTTTCTAAAATGAATATTAATCTTTGTTTCAATAGCACCAATGAAACGTTAAACGTTAATGCTTTACTTCTAATAAATATTTGCAAGGAGTACTGAAGTAACCATTTTACTTGGGTCAAATAAATACTATATACAAGTAAATAAATAAATATCACTTGAACGTTAGTGCTTTTCCCAGCGAGATTTCATCTCCTAAACTTACGTCTCCATTTAAAAAGCGCATCTTTTACTTTTTAGTTATTCTACAAATGTGATCTAAATTGGAGACGAACACTTCCCAGATGTTCCTTGTCGAACTCACGAGACATTAATCATCGTTACTTGAGACTTGTCTCATGCGAGATACTTAGATCGCGATTTAAAGTTAGAGACGCGAATTTTCCAATTAAATCGCGATTACAAGCGATAGAGTCATGTATACCGTATGCGATTCAGCTCGTTTGGATTATCCGTTACATCCTCGGACGTCAGATCTAACTCCAGGACGTCGGATCTGGATATTTCGCGTGAATCAAGTTTCAAGTCACGACTGTTAATACGAGTCGCACTCGCGATGCGTAACGAGGGCTCGTCCGCGTCCCGGTTTCGCGCGTCGCCGGCGGGATATCTCGCGCGTATCGATGCGGCGGATTACTCGAGAAAGGCGAGTCACGCGTCGATCACGGTGATGTACCACGCGCAATCGTCGTCGAATAACGAGCGGTTTCCAGCAGATGTAAATCGAGGCGACGACGAGCGGCGGCAACGGTTCGTTCCAGTTTTCCGAGTGACTTTTTCGCTCCTTTTTCCCCCGGAATTAATCGCTCCGCCGGTATCAGGAGAAAAGCGAACACTCGGCTTCTCTATTGCTTGCAGATGTGCACGGGCCCATGGAGACGTTCGTCCTGCCACCCGGCATGTACTTGAGGCCGGAGGACGCCGGGAACCTCTACACCACCCTGTCGGCCAATCCTAACGTGTTCTTCCAGAGAGCGGCCCATCCCGGGATGATGTACTGATAAGGTGTCCCCCCCCCCCCNGTCCCCCCCCCCCCGTGAACTCCTCGTCTGATATCACCCGAATACGATACGCGATCGAGCTTTCGTGTTACGCTCCAGATTAGATCACGGAGACGAAATAAAGCAACTTGTGCTTCGTTGTAAATAATCGTCGTTGTTAGATCGTCCAATTAAGTGCGTCCTGAGATACGTCGAGGTACGATTTTACAGACTCCTTTTGTAACGAAGAAGCTGGGCGATCGTGATCGAAATGTAGAGAGATACGTGTGCGCGATTCGTGGCAGAGTGATTAATTAAACGAGAGTTGCCGAGAATCGACGACGACCCCGTGAACTCTGGTGACAAAGTGTGTGCCTCCAAGATAACGCAATAAACGCATGATTAACGTCTTTTTTTTACACAAGATCCGTCTGTCTTCTACATTCGATTCTTTCGACCGTGCGTTTGGAAAAGGGCTCAAACTTGTTTGCATCTCTCGTCAACTTTGTACGGGAAATCAGGAATCAGCTGTCCATATAATGCAACTGAAATTTAATCATCACATTAGATTAGATCACAGAGATGATAAATTTATACGATAGGCTTATTCAGTTGCTATTAGTTTTTAGAAACTGGGTATAGGGACAAAAAACTAGCTAAATTAATTAAATTTCAATTGTATCATAAGGACAACTAATTTTTATCTGTGGGAGCTAATTCTTTTTCTGCCATGTAATTAATTGAAAAACTAAATTAAGTACAATGAAAAAAAATTGCTACGTTCAAGTAAATATTTGCTAAGGAGTATTAGAGCAGTTTATCTTATTTGGATTAAGTAAATATTGAACTTAAATGTAGCTAACTGGAAGAGAAAGAATGCTACATTCGAGTAATATTTACTTAATCCAAATAAAATGAACCACTCCAATATTCCTTAGTTATTTACTTTTGGACGTAGCAATTTTTTTCAGGGTAAACACTCTAGGAAACATCTCCGTAACTTTTCCAAACGTTAGGAAAAATATGTGCCAATTTCTCTAGTTCCTTTTTTGTCTTTCCTCAATTAAAATATATTGAATACTCTGTCAATTACACATATAGTCTAAATAGAGATAATTCAGTTTTTCGTAAAATATCGCCAAGACTAAAGGAAACTTTTATCAAACTCTTCAGCTAATCGATAATTAATTTAGCTGAAAACATAGAAAATAAACGACAGTTTGTTAAAACGAGTTTGTTAAAACGAGTAAGAAAAGTCTCTCCGCGCGCGTTTCCTCTCTTTGCAATCTATATTTAAAATTGCTATCAGTTAAGTATCGCCTATATTTTGCTAACACGCAGAATTATTAACCTGTTCGTTATTGTTCAACGGTAAACTACATAACTGAGAATTGATGTTAACATTCCCTCCCGGCTAACTATCGATTAATTTAATCTATAGTTTTTAAAAAACCGCTTTTTTAAATTTTTTCACTGAAAGAAACTGAATAAATCCGTGGGAAAAATGGAAGAAAACGTTTTTTCACGTTTCTTGCAAAAAGAAACCGAAAGCCCGAGTCGAAATTTTGAATTCTACGTTAAGTCCTCAAGTGGAGAAAACGGCAATAATATTTCCTTTTTTAGTACCAAAGAAGCACAACAGAAGATCCTTGAACACTCAACGTAAAACTAAATTAGATTTAAAGCAGGACTCAAATTTCAACTCAGATTCAGGAAAAATCGGAAAAATTGAAAAAACTCGGCTTTCCTAAGCCTGTAAACTACACCGAGGAAAAAAGCACTTAAACATTTATTTGTGGAAGATATAAGATTTATTTCATCGAAATATAAGCCCGGAGAGCACAGATCTCCTAGGGACGTTCTAAGGATGTCCTGAGAACGATGTCTTAAGAACGTTCACAGAACGTCCATGGGATACCGTGTTTCGGAGGTTTATTTTTATGAAAGAAAGTTTATGTCTGTGAGATAAACCTTATATCCCGACTAAATTCTTAAATACTTTCCTCTGAACATATACTTTAATCAGAATTGAATAAATCAATCCAAAACACGCTTCTTTCTGCGATAGCTTGCTCTCTCCTTCGCGGAGTTGACTCGCACACGACAACGAGAAATTACCCCGTACGCTGACGTAGTTACTCCATCTGGACATCGAGCGAGTTTCAACCATTCGTGGAGAAACGGTCAAAGATTCTCTCATCGAACAATGAGGAAAATCGTGTCACTCACTCGTGCGCATCGATCGCGCTCGATCACGCGCGCATCAGCTTCAGCTGCGGTTGCATAACGGCAGGCGCGCCTGACGTCACATGACGCACATCTACGTTAAGGTGGCGGTGCTGCTGCTGTTGCTGCTACTGGTGGAGGTGGTGGTGGTAATAACGCGCGATCATTCCCCGCGCACCTGTCAAAGACAGTCAACAATATGGCATCGTAGTGGGACACTGCTGTCGTGCACACCGATCGGCCGCACATATGTTATTCGCGCCGATGGAAGCCGCGGGTCTCGCTGGTGGAACGTTCAGTAACTCGTTCGGGGCGGCGACATAGCCAGGTGAAAGTGCGTGCGTGCGTATCCGCCACGCGCCGGTTTCTAACCTGACCAGGAACGATGATTCGCCGTCTTTCTTCGCTGCTGTGCGTGTCCGACGACGCGATGTAACGTGCGCGCACATTCTCGCCGTATCGTAAATAAATTATATAAGTTGGAAAGTAAAAAACGCGGCGTGTCGATATGGCGTGTCCGGTGAAGCAGCTCAGGTAAGCTCGAGCTCACGGAATAGTCCAGAAGCAACTTGTTTTTTTCACACTCCTCGGACATCGTGCGTTGACACGTCGCCCCGAGGAAGTAAGACAGTTTCCGTCTGTTCTTCATAGCTGCACTGTTGAACTTGTGCTATAAGTTGAAGTGAGAAAACATATACACTTGTCTCACCTCAACTTATCGCACACCAGTTCGGCAGAGCAGCTATAAGGAACAGACCATCTGTTTCTCTCCTCGAGCATTTGACGCTCCATGTCCCTTTCTCTGCGCCCAGAATTTACTTCGTCACGTGGAACGTGGCCACAAAGTTCCCGAGTCTCCAGCAGGATCTTCACCAGCTCCTGGGCATCACACCCTACGCAGAGCCAGAGCATTGGCCAGACTTATACTTTATAGGGTAGGTACTTTTTTGTATTTACATTTCTCCATGCACCTGAGATCTCATTCTGACGGCATGTTCATATTTTTCTCTGCTTACATGCTTCTTCAGGTTACAAGAAGTTAAGTCTCAGCCTCAGAATATAGTATTGGACTATATATTATTCGAAGATCCCTGGACTAAAGCATTTAGGTAAGCCAATTGAAGCAACACATGAATTTAGCTCATGAATATAGTCATGACTTAGATTGGTATTCATAGTTGGATCTTGTATTTAAGACAGTGTCAAATTTATCTTCAGATGTTTCGCAACAAGTGAAATGAGCCGCATACCATTTGAAGATAAGCTTAAGACGGTCTTAAATATAAGATCCGGCTGCTGTGAATATCGCCCTATGTGTGCAAATTCAATAGAGAGACAGGGAGGTTAATTGCTGATATCATTTCCAGAGATATACTGAAGAAATATGACTATGTCAAGATACGTTCCCAGCGGTTACAAGGTCTCGTTCTAAACGCTTTCTGTCTGAGGAAACATTTAACGCATTTAAGATCCATAGAAGCTCAATATACCAGAACAGGTTTCGGCGGCATGTGGGTAAGAGACAACGGTCTAGTTTCCACTGAAACCTTCGGTCCGGTACCACTTGACATTTAATATGGTAAAACCAAAGTTTAAGTCGTAAATGTGAATAATTTTGCTATTCTATTTCCTGTTTTTATTTTATACATTGCGTTTTTTCGCTTCTGATGTCATCAAACAAAAACAGTCGCAGCGACTATCCAGAAGCCTTATAAAATACATAAATATATGTTAATATATTCATAACTTTTTAGCCTTATTAATTTTCAATATATTCACCTTGTTAAATTAACATAAAGATTTGCGTTAACTGTTCGTAATATAAAATTTTTTATTGCGTATACTTAAGAAACCGCTTTTTAAGATTTTTTCTCAAAAAGAAACCGAGAAAAATCTGCGGAAAAAAATCGCGTTAAAAATACGATTTCTTCCAAATTTTTTTTTTCATTCATCCGCGGAGAGAAATCGAAAAAACCACGGACAATTTGGAAAAAAGACCCAAATTTTTTCTCGAACTTTTAAAACTATAGTATACTTTTAAAACTACACTATACATTCGCACTCCGCATCGAAAAAACTGAAGGTTGGAAACTTCGGTGGAAACTGGACCAATGTTACGACGAATATTAATTGTTGTGTTGACTACGCTGTCTCTACATACAGGGAAACAAAGGTGCTGTGAGTATAAGAATGGCTGCGTACGGTGTCAGCGTTTGCATTGTGAATACACACTTAACTCCCCATGACCACTTATTAGCTGACAGGATCTCAGATTACAACACCATCGTGACTGACCACACTTTTACTGTTTCGTGTACAACGAGGATATTATATCACGAGTACGAAACATTGTCACGTCGAAGTGAATGTGTTACATGCGTTATTTATATAGAATCAATGTTAACAATATCTCCTTTTCTCACGGCAGTTATATATTTTGGATCGGTGACTTAAACTTTCGACTCAACGGAGAAGACTTAACTGCCGTCGATATAGACTCGATGGTAAAGCAGAAGCAACTCGAGAAACTCCTCGAGAGGGATCAGCTGAGGATGGTAATGCGAGACGGTCAAGCTTTCGCCGAGCTCACCGAGAATGTTGTCACATTCCCGCCTACTTACAAATACGAATTCGAGTCTCAGGCGTTTGATCTCAAGTGAGTCGCAGGGAATCGTATCCCGTTTCACGTACGGTCTGTTTGATAAGAACGTGACCGGGCAAATTTCTCTTTGGAAACCGTTGCATTGAAAACTTTTGAATGAGTAGATAAAAGAATTTTTCCTCTACGACGCATTATACAGGGAGTCTCAGTTATTGTTTGACTTTTGCTTGAGAACGACGTATTTAACGATAAATGCTAGAATGTAGAGTAGGTCGAGTCGAATTGAATCAATATAAGTTTTAAAACAATTGTCGTTGATTTTTTGTTTCAAACAAATGCGAGGAAATAAACACAGAGATTACTGACACGATAAAATAGCTCGTTTGAAAGAAAAAACTAACTACAACTGTCTCAAACTTATATTAATCCTATTCTCGCTGTGATTCAATTCACCCCGGTTTACTTTATGGAAAATTGGAGTGCCAAGAATTGAGAAAAAGTGTCAAAAAATTTACTAATAAGCATTAATATCATTTGTCAAAAAATGATTTCTAAATAAAGATCGGAATTGGATCCTTCAAGAGGACAACGACCCAAAACATTGAAATAGTCTTTGCTTCCAATGGAGGGAAGGAAATAACGTCGAAGCACTAGACTAGTCACTACAATCGCCAGATGCAAGTTCAAATGAAAATATCTGGACATTAAGGCTTCTGGGTAGTCATTACAACTGCCCTTGTTTGATGATGTCAGAAGCGAAAAAACGCATGTCAAGAATTCTTGCGTTTTATGTTCAAATAAAAAGATATACTCACAAAATGACATTTGTGATCGATTCAGCACATTTGTAAAATTAACGTGCACTTTTCTTTTATTCGGACAAGCAATAAATAGTCGTAAAATTAGCATTGATAAAATCATGAGAAAAAAGGTTAAAATGAATGGTTCCGCGTCAAATTAATTTTGTAGATGTTTATTGATTGTCCAAATAAAAAAAAGTATTCGTCTCATTTTATAAGTGTATTGAATCGATCACAAATGTCATTTTGTGAGTATATTTTCTTATTTGAACGTAAAACGCAAGAATTCTTGACATGCGTTTTCTCGCTTCTACGTCATCAAACAAAGACAGTCGCAGCGACGACCCAGGATCCTTAATGAAGATGAAGCTGGGTGGAAAAAAATGTACACAATGAAGTAGATTCGTTCAATATGGCAATCTTTATCTCGAGAGTATGCTGTGAAATTCATAAAAGGAAAGCATGCTTCGAAAATACAAGTTAGAATACAGGTTAGGAGGAAAATAATAGTTACTAATTTTATGTTTAATCCATTAGAATAATTTTCGGTGTCAATCAGCGTTTTTTACCTCTGCAACCTCCCAAGGTGTCAAATCACTCAATTTACTCATAATTTTTATAAACAATTTGAATAATTTTTACACAAAAATTTATTTTTCTGTTAGTAAGCAAGAAATTTGAAGTTGCAAGTCACAAATAAATAAAAATAATACTAAATTTCAATTGACACACGCACTCAAAACTCACGTGTGCTCCCGTTATTATCAACAATGCAACTAACGCGGGTTTATATTTGTTTAAGGTCACTGTAACAGTCAAGAAATGACGTCATAAAAAATACTTTTTATAAAATAATAGTTCCTTAATATAATTCGATCGATAGATGAGCCGTATTATAAAACTGGTCCGCGGAAATCAATGAAATGTAAAAAATTAAGACACGTCTAATAATATCGTCAAGGACTGTAGATACACTTCACGAAGTATATATATATTCTTATGATATATATGCATCTATATCCATTTACTTCAAATTTATATCTGTATCCGTTTACATTTCCCTTTCAGTATCTGTATCTAATTACTTCAGAAAATGTACCTGTTATAACGCTATGTGGTACATATGTAATGCATTTTCATTTTATAATAAATAGTTTAAAAATTATCGTCGGTCACGCTCTTATTAGACAGACTGTAAGTGGTTTACACACATAAGTGATTTCTAAATGCGTTCTGCATTTTTAATTCCCCGCCATGCAGGCGTAGACCATCCTGGACCGATAGAATCTTATACAAAGTTAATGCAGTGGACATCTACGACGATATACAGCTTCATACAGTGCAGCATACTTACAAGAGCCACTCCAACTACAGCGTTTCCGATCACAAACCCGTAACTGGAGAGTTCGATATCACGGTAGGCATTTTTGCGATGTATACACATCTCCCCCCGTAATATTCTGCACGCATACACGAACAACCATACCTTCTTCAGGTGAGACCTAACGTGAAAGACGACGTCGTGGAATTTCAAGATTGCACTATGGCGGAACATTTCATATCCTACAGGCTGCAGAAGGACTTTACGGCGGGCAACGCGGACTGGATAGGTCTCTTCTCCAACGAGTTCTCCAGCTTGGACGACTACATCGTCTACGAGTACGTCAGCCGCGGTGAGTTCACCATTTTATTACAGTTCCTGGACCATATTATTAGACGCACTTTGATTTTTTTTAATAGAATACAGGTTAGGAGGAGAAGAAAGGCTACTAATTTTATATTTACTCGATTAGAATAATTTCGGTATCAATCAGCGCTTTTACCACCGCAACCTTATGAGGTGTGTCAAATCACTCGTTTTATTCATAATTTTTGTAAACAATATCAATACTTTTCACACTAAAATTTATTTTTCTATTAGTAAGCAAGGAATTTGAAGTTTCAAGTTACAAATAAATAAAAATAAAAGTAAATTTCAATTGACACACACACTCAAAATTTACGTCTGTTCCCGTTATTATCAACAATGCAGTTAGCGCGGGTTCATGCTTATTTAAGGTTATTGTAATAGCAAAGTGAAATGACGTTATAAGATATATCTTTTATAATAGAATTTTAGAATAACGGTTCCTTAATATAATTCGATCGATAGATGAGCATTATAAAGCTGGTCCTCGGAAGTCAATGAAATGTAAAAAATTAATATGCGTCTGATAATATAGACAGGGACACTCCCCGATCTCGTTTTCCAATGTCATTGATTGATTGCATTGTTTGATCGTCTTTTTAATGACACACCAGGCAAGTCGACCTCAGTTCCCGGTGAGTCAGCCGCGAGCACCGAGCGGATATTCTTCAGCGACACGGCGCTTCGTCTGACGGAAACGTATTGCTTGGTCTACGTGGCCCAACGCGGCGACCTAATGGAGATTTTAGGCTTGAGTCCGGCGTTTACGGGCCTTCGTGGACCAATCGAGGTGAACGCCTCGTCTACGTAAACTTCTCTTGCCGGACAGATCTCACTTAGAAGCTTGCGTGTGAACACCAATCCTCGCGCCGCAAGGCGACACCTCGCCTAATATGCCCACGTTTCGATTAGGACATTTTTCTTCGTTGATCTAATTTCGTATCACCGCCTTACCGACGACCACACGACTTTTCCTGAGAAATTGTGATAACGATGTAGAGGCGGAATCGTTCCGCCTGCGTAGACTCCTTTGAATTAGCAGAAATGTTTAAGCGAGTCAGGAAACATGGCCTTTAAATCGTAAGGTGCTTTCGACACGGTGTGTGTAGTTCGTAAATCCAAAGCATCGAAATATCGATGCTTCCCTACGTACACTTGCTCTCGACATGGTCTGAACACCTTTTTCTCGATACAGCTTGAGAATATATCAGAGAGAATTTGTTTTTGATTCATTTCCGCAAGTTAAGTTCTCTCATTGGACCGTCAGCCTATTCTTAATCACTCGACCGTTCCGATCCGCATCGAGAAGAAAGTGCTTAAACCGTGTTCGAGAGCAGGTATAATTGTTTAAACTGTTACTTTTGGTACCTGGTTTCGCGCGCTCCGAGCGCGTCGCGCGTATTAATTATGCGCTTTAAGGGGAGAGCTTGCAGTGAGTGCACGCGCCACGTTTTCACGCACACTCGAGGTCTTCCTCGATCATCCATTGACGCCCACGCTGTGTTCTTACGTATATAGTAATAGACAAAGGCAATTGTATCGTTCGCTCTCCTCCCCTCCCCTCTTCGCCCGATCCCCGAGCGTTAATGGTTAATCACGACGTTACGGGTGTACTCACATATCGCCGTTTAACATCGCTTCTCAACAAGATCACTCGTAGCGATGAACCTAGGTTGTGGCAAGGCGGCACCTGCCGCCGCATAAATGTCCGTAATATTTTATTTTTATAGAGGCACCGAGACGACAGAGAAAGAGAGAGAGAGAGAGAGAGAGAGAGAGAGAGAGAGAGAGAGAGAGAGAGAGTGGTGCAAAGTGAAACGAACAAAAATGTATAATGTGGGAATATGCAAATAAAGGATATTAGTATTTTTTATTCGTTTCGCCTCTCGGTGTTAATCCTCCCCCCATGGTATCCCATCACGCGTCCCATCACAACGTCACGTTCGTCGTAAACTGATTTATTCAATAATAAATTAACACCTGCCGACGACACAACACGACAATAAATAAGCGAGCTACACGTAACAACGACGACGACGATGTTGTGTAGGTCAACGACGCGTAGACACGAGGATGCGAATGTTACGTCCCCGGTAAGCAAGAAACGTTGAAGCAATCTTTCGAAACATCGATTTAACATGAATTTTGCAAACATTCCGACATAATATTTTATAAATGTATTTAAACTGTTACTCGATAATATAATATTCCTAAATATTAAAGTCACAATGTGTGTAAATATATGTTACTTTTAATGTTTGGGTCAAATATTGTTAACAATGACGTTGTACGATATTAAAAGGTACATTTGGAAACGTTACATGTTATAACACGCCATCGTAATAATCGTTGTGTTAACGATTTCTTGCTTGCAGGGCTATCGGCACGAACATCGACTCGAGAGAAGGTCAACATCGCGTACACATCTCCTCGTAACACTACGGCATTGTAACAATGTATATTAATTATTACCGGCTATTTCGCACGCCCGGACTCGGCTCTAATTTGTGTAGCCGAGTCGTATCTAGGCGAGACGCGATAATATTGCATGCTTAATTCTCGAGAACCACTCCGGCAAGGTCGTTCCCTCTATTATCGTTTCTCACAATTCCACAATTAGTGCATGTATGACTCGCGACATGGCACATACTGTCCGTGCACCGTGCCGGGAAAGAAGACGAATCACGTATTACGTAATTGGCGAGCGAGAATATTCTATTTTCATCGAACGCGTCGGGCGGCTTAACCGCGAAACGCGCGCTGAAATTCTCGCTGTGCAGACGCGGACCGCACTTCACGTTCGAGGAAATACATGCTAGAACGCTCGCCGCCTCTCCGTTCGCGGATATCGCACGTTGGGAGAGAAGAAGAAAAAGGACTAGAGCTCTATTACACTTCCGAGCGTTACGCGCTCGACTTCGAATGTATAAATAAAAGTCACCTCCGGCCGCGCGCGAGAAAGCATCACCGGACTTCGCCGGGCTAATTCCGCGCTAACCGGAAAGCCCAGGTGCAGCCGTTCTCGGCGAGTTCGGCGACGTGCGTCGTGCGGCGATTCGCGCCGATATATCTCAGCGTCGCTCGTCGATCGAGGCGTTTCAATCCGGGTAACGACGAGTTAAAATAAACCTCCGTCTCATGGTGCTGCGCACGCCTTCGGCTCGCTCTCCTCCACCTTCCACTGGGTCCGATTGTCGGCTCGTCTCGAGCTCGTCAGGCTGATTGACGACCTCCCGCCGAACTTGGCCTCGACGTCGAAAACGCGCGAGCAGGCTCGACTCAACTTTAATTGATTTACGTTATCACTGAATGATAGTCTGTCCGGGCAGCCCGGAGTCGCCGTTCACAGGCATCACAGGCAGCAGCGCCAACTCCATGCTGCCAACTTCCGGCTCGGTGGTGTGGATCCCACGCAGCTTCTGTATCCGATGCCAGACGAAGTCCCTGATCGGCCTTCTCAGTACGAAGAGGCCGAAGATGAGCACACCTTGGAGGGCGTTCACCAGATCGAAAGCCGACCAGTCCAGTTGGTCGGCGCCGATCCACCAGGAGATCAGCTCCATCGTCCAGTTAAGGCCCATCAAGAAGAAGAGCACCAGGCAGACGAGGAAGGTCCTCTTGAGCCTGCGGAAGAGCTTCTGCTCAAGCCGGTCGCAACTCTCGTTCCTCGCCAAACGTCGCAGCGCCAGCTCCTGCTGATACCTGTTGATGTTGACGGCTGTCACCACGAAGAGGATCATGTTGGCGAACAGCAGGAGGCCGACCGGTACATAGAAGTACGGCATCGCTTCCTCGTCGGCTGTGGAAGGAGTGAGAATGATTAACACTTATCTTTTCTTCCTCTTCGGGCATTCAGCCGAAGATGTCAGGAATGAAGAGGGGCTCGAAGATATTTACGTCAGTGAGAAAAATGTCCATCGGATAAAACCGGTTAAATGATGTATTTGATTGTTATTTTTACTGTCCGATCAAGTGACGATGGGTACCTTTACCCGATGAAGTATCCGGTGAAGTTACCGATGCAGTTGCGTAATTTTCGTCGGATAAAGGCACGATTTGATCGAACGCATTGCGACTTGATGTAAGCAAATCGCCGGCAAAAATACAATAGGATCGATCTCGACTAATCTGACGACAGACTGACGGCAAAAGTCGAGCAGATTCTGTCGCTCCGATATATTTAAATGGAACATACTGTAAAAACGGAACATCCTGTTCACTTTCTGTCGCCAATCTGCTGTCAGATTCTTTCAGCAGGCTCTGTCGGCAGAACAACAGCGAATTGCGAACATAGATGACTATGGATCTGTCGCCAATCTGTCGTCAGACTGCTAACAGATTGCTTACTGAGTCGTGAATGGCGATTGTCATTGTGCACGGAAAAAAGAAATTTTGCTAGAACAACAAATGTTTGTCAATATGACGGCAAAAAAATGTGTTCAGACAACAACAAAATTTTGTTTAAACAGCAGAAAGATTTGTTAAGAGCATTAATCGCCCATCTATCCAGCAAGTAGCAATGAATACTCTTAACAAATCTTTCTGCTGTCCAAACAAATTCTTTGCTGTCTAGACAAATTCTTTTGCTGTACATTGATAAACATTTGCTGCTCTAACGAAAATTTGTTTCTCCGTGATGATCGCGCGTTTATCAGCAATTTCACAACGATACGCAGTAATGTATCTATAAGGTTTGAATGATGGTTGAGACGGTGCGCGATCGGATGATCGTGTGTTCTAAATGGCGATGGAAGGCAAGTGGGACGAACGAATGGCAAGCTCCGCGAATGGTGTGACGCAAGCGAATCGGGACTCACATTTGAACCAACAGCTGTCCCTGCCGAATGCGGGCTTCACGTAGGTCGCAGGTATCGTCGGGTTGAGGTCCATCGCCATCGAGACGAGAATGAGGACCGCCGGCGGGCCCCAGGCCCATATAGAGTAGTAGAAGAACAGCAACTTGGATGGGGTGCGCCTGTACGAGCGTTGATTCACGTGGTAGCGCACCATCAGCCACGTCTCGATGCATATCACGTTCAGCCAAAAGAAGCAGGCGACGAATGAGAACTGGATGATGAACGCTGAAAACGACCCCGGCCCCGCTTTCCAGATCAATCTGTCTGCGATCGCGTGCCGTCGCGTGCCGCGCCAAAAGCGAATCGACGCTGGCCGCACGTTGCGTTCCATTAAAATCTCTTTAACTGAATTGGCTGCACCGGTTCAAGAAATTTATGTACATATCGAAGCACGTGTGAGATCTTCACGCTTCAGTGTGCGTACATTTCTTGAACTAATGCAACCAGTTCAGCTGACGGACCAAATGCAACGAGTTCAACGCACAAATTCTGATACGGAAAGTGGCAGGAAGATCGTAACGTTTTTCAGCCTCAATGAACTTCGAAAAATGTATGCGATGTTTAATAAGAAAATTTCTTCTCTCTCCGGAGAATCACGAAAAAAAAAATACATTCTATTCAATACGGATGCGAAACTCGTTGAAAGAGAAAGTGTTGCAGCTACCACTGACTGTACATGAGAATGGAAACTTCACACGGCTTATCTTGAAACTTTCGCGGTAACGTTCGATTAATAATGTTGACAATTCTTAGACATCGCTGACGGCTCGACCTGGATTCCAGGTTGATGTCGTGCCTTTCGTGGATTTACTTCCGTCGTCTTGTGAACGTTTCAGTTTACTTCTCTAGAGAAAGAAACAACCTAAAACTATAGTTACGGGATCCAGATCGAGCATTCTTCACATCGCGAAAATCAAATTACACGGTGAATTCATATAAGGTAAAAGTCTATACCTGAATACGTATTTAACCTTGAACATTCTTGTTGTTTTTCTTATTTTAAATACAAATATTCAAATTTTCAATATTGAGTGTGTGTGTGTGTGTGTGTGTGTGTGTGTGTGTGTGTGTGTGTGTGTGTGTGTGTGTGTGTGTGTGTGTGTGACAAATATTTTATGTTTAAAGACGAAACAATCGTACTTAAAGATCAAAATAAGAATACCCACAGTTAGGTGCGTGTCCAAGCATTGATATTTTTACCTTGAATGAGATAGGAAAATTCCCGGGGAAAAAAAGTCATATATGGAATTTGCTCATATATGACTATATCATATATGCCCGAAAAAACACTGTTGTTTATAAATTATATTCAAATACAATCGAAATAAATGTTTCTCACTATTTGTGCTTCTGACAGCTTCTGACAGCACATGATATCGACATTTAATTAAACGACATAATATCATTTTTTTCGTATAGACATACGATCATATATGTAACCACATTTATGAGCAAAATTTATATAGGATTTTATATTAAGATTATATATAATCATATATAATATCATTTTTCCCGGGATTAAATCTTAGAGAAACTTTCTCCGACGTAACAACTAAAATTCCGATGACTACAGTATACACAGAAAAAAAATTAATTCCCACAGCTAAAAATGAGATCTGAGAGATAAATCTCAATTGTATTATATGGATAGCTAGTTCTTAGCTGTGAGAGCGAATTCTTCTTCCCATGCAGGGAGTTCATCTTGTTAGCCGACTATTCCATATTAAGTATTTATTCGAATGTTGAGATTTCCTAGTCAATCGAGATTTTATCTTTTCTTTCCGATGAATTTACGAAGGAATATAACCTGTATTTTTATACGATGTTGCGTCAGATAAAGATGCATGCTATATATATATATATATATACATATATATTTCGGCTTTCGCGCGGAATCGTGCGTGGGCATCTTACTGAAATTAATTATCTTACCTATACTAACGCACACTTCGGGCAGCATTTCGGCGCTCGCGAGTTGCGTAATGGCCAAAGTAGTGAAGGCAAGCGCCAAGCAGCCACAATAGTGGCAAAGAGCCTTCCCGTGGACATCTCGCAATCTCGGCGTTATCGCGTACGCCACGATGGTGAGGATCAAGAAGGGAACCGAGATCAGGAGCCCACAGGCATAAATAATGATCCGCGTGTCCGCAGTCGAGGCAACATCGGCTGAAATCGTGGTGTTTTTCGTTAAGAGGATTCGAACGGCCGATGAGTAAAGTCAAACGCGTCGACATTTCATATTCGACCGCGACGTGTTAATTTCCTCGATCAATTTCACACAGCTTCTCGATTGATTTCAAAGGTACACTGAAAGAAGAATCTGATAACAATTTTACCAAGATTTTCTGAGTGTTTTAACGATTAAATATTTGATTACTGTGATCAAATCACGTAGTTCCATGTATTCTACTATGTATAGCTATTCTAACAATAAAACTTAGAAAGATAAAAAGCATACGCTGAGTATATAAAAAAACATCTAAACTCTTATATGTAAGAACAAGTACAGAGTTTAGAAGTAACCATTAAGAGATTTTTACTTTAAATGATTAGAAAAACGAAGTTTTTTTTTTGAAAAAGTGGCGATATTTTTATTCCAATTTAAAGTACAGACTGTACGATTAAGTGTGGAACACGATGTCTGATGAATGACCGCCTCGACTTTTTTTACAAATGGTCACTTTTTCGAGGAAATCTTGCATCACGTGTTCACATAGTTGCGACTCGATTTCGTGAATAACACTTTTGATATTGTCCTTGATCTCTTGAATCATTTGCAGACCATTGGCGTAGACTTCATTTTTCACATAGCCCCCAAAGAAAATAGTCTAGCGGTGTTAAATCGTACGATTTAAGCGGCCAATTAAAGTCTTCGCGTCGAGAAATTGAGCGCCCAGAGAACTTTTCATAAAGCGATTGTTTCGCGATTGTTTATGCGGCACGATGCGCAGTTCTGCTGGAAATAAACATCGTCCAGATTCAAATCGTCCACTTCACGTCAAAAAAAGTCGGTCAGCAAACTTAGGTTTTCTGCGACACTTTCAGCCACAGCAGCAATGTTTTCGTCGGTTGATCTGACTGGCCGAGCACGGGTTGGAATCTTTACATCACCAACTTGACCCAAACCATCAATTTCTTGATTAGGTTGCTGGACGAGAAGGTGCTTCATCACAAAGCACCGAAAGCAGTACGAACTTTACGAACTGTTGAAAGCAGTACAAAGCGTGAAATTTTCACGATTTTTGTAGTGAATTTTCACAATTTCTTTACGTTGTTGAAGAGCATATCGTTCCATTTTTGTTAATCGTACACTTTTTATTTGTCAGCTATTAAGGAATGACAGTTCTACCTTTAATAAGTTAAAAATAGCGTTAAATTTAAAATGAAATCTTTTAATGGAAACCCTGTAACATGCGTGGACTTTGAAAAGGTAGATGTGGTTTTTCAAAAATTAACTCTACTCAAAAGTAGATATGAGATCAATATAATTAACCAAGTATGTCAGTATGTATTACTAAATGTAATACGTTGTACGTACAAATAACAAACATTAAAGCGAAGAAACATAATTTGAGGTGAAAAATTCAACTTTCAGATATGTTTCTTTCTTTCATAAAATTAGTTTTTATACTTTAGAAAATTAAAAAAAAAATCACAAAAATATTTGGTGTGTCTGGGTCACGTCTAAACGCATCCATATATTTTAATTAACATACTTAGTGGTTTCCTTGAATTTTATAAATAGCAACGGGCAAGCCAAATATTTCTTGCGTGATTTTATTTTCTTAAAATCTTTCGAAGTGTAGAAACTAATTTTATAGAAGAAAAAACGTATCTGAAAATTGGATTTTTTTTCCTTCAAATTATTTCTCTTTGCTTCAACATTTGTCATTTGTATGTGCAACATATTACATTTGATAATGAAATACTTGGTTATTTGATTATTGTAATCAAATCACTACTTCCATATATCTTACTATATATTTTATATGGCGTATGATATATGGAACTAAGTGATTTGATTTTTAATTAATTAAACACTTGGCTGAAACATATTCACCAAATCTGATTGTTATCAAATCCTTCTTTCAGTGTAATTAATCGCGCGAATATACGAAAGTTACTTGCTAAGTGAATTAAGATGCGACAGAATCGTGAGAAGAAACGGGAAAAAATCGCGAAGGAAATGAGAAAATGTTTTTCAAGGACTCGCTTTTTTCCTTTTATAAGATATTCACTTCTCGCACACACACGCACCTTCAGCAAAACAAACAAACGGTTTAAGACCCAGGCTTCCCAGTGTGCCTAGTTCGTCCATTATATCGAACACGATTTCCATGCAGTAATCCTCACCGGGCACGAGCATGACTGGTGCATGATGCGGCGCGAAGAGGGAGCCGTTCAACAACAAATAATATTCATCATTAGCGTCCATCTCCGGTTCTAGTAAGTACCTGAAAATATATTTTCCAAATACATACACACACACATATATATATATATATATATATATATA